AGTTCAAATTATTCATAGTTTGTTGCTTTAATGTCTACAGTGTCCAGCTGTGACTTCATAGCTCATGTTCTTTCTTTACAAAATGGATCACATTGATAGCAAAGCCAAAACATTATTCTCATTTCCTTTGAAAGGAAATTTCTATTTTTACATTGTTTTCAATAAATTATTTACTGTAACTATTGATTGAAATATGCTTACCATCTTTTGATATATCGGGGTGGGAGGGAAAGCATATTTCATCTCTCTGCAAAACTGGTGAGTGTTTTCCTAGTGATTCTGAGGGATTTTTGGGAAAAGCCCTACCCCAAAGTAGTTTTTCTATTTTCATGAAATCTACTACTAGAGATTTATTATTCCAATTTAAGCAGCATTCTGGCAGAAACAGCCCCTAACATCATATGTTAATCACTTAAACCTTAGTGCCTATTTGTTTATTGGCAGCTTTGTCATTTTCAGCCAAGAGTTATTGTTGAGAATATCTATTTTCAACTCAAAGAACACTATTTTAATTACATTAAAGGAAATGGGAAAAAACAAGTAAATAATATCATTGTACCACTCTAACAGAATAAGTTCACCTTTGCATGGTTTCCTTCCTGTTTTTGTCCATTTTCATACACATTTCTAATAGTGATATAATCATGGTATTGACTCACTGTGCCTACCTACCATGCTGTGTGGCCCATGAAGGTGCTTAGTAGGTCCTTGTTGAAGGAATGAACAGACTATCACTACATCAGAGCTTAAGGCTATGTGTCTGCTTTCAACTGTGATCTTGAGTATTGCCCTTTGCAGCCCACCAGATCCATGACATCATATACAAAGGACATTAGATCAACCACTCAGTCTACCTCTTCCCTGCATCATGGGACCAGTAGCCAGTAAGGCAAATTGGATATTTAAATGCCCTTTGAGGCAATAACCAGGATGTCTTTTCAATTCTGGGATAAACATCTTTTGTTTCAGCTTCCATTTGAGTCCTGATTCTGTCCTACAGATAGCAAGACTGGAGCTGTTCTTTCAGCCCTGCTTCAGGCTCTCGGAAAGCTTTGGCTCACACCAGCTCTTGAGCTTCTACCTCTCAGGTCTCAGATATAGACTTCATTCTTGCCTCAGTCTTCAGACCCATATCTGGCCTCCAGACTGCTGAAGAGAGCAACGTGTGAAATATGTATAGGTCATGCCTGTCCTGGGTCCATTTCTCCCAGTGAAGATTATTTCACATTGTTCAGAATCAAACATTATCCCAAAGCTCCCCTTTAACCAATCTTTCCCTTCCAGCATACCTCCCTGAGTCACCCTCTCATTAACCCATTTCCCCCTAATTATCAGCCTAGGCCTTCTTCTTTGAACCATTTTTATTTTTCTGCTAAAAAGTTGAATGTATAGTTAAAACATTTGAAACTATAGAAAGGAAAAAATAACTATTAATTGGACTACAGGGCTTGTTTTGAGTACTCTAAACTTCTGTATATTCTTCTTAAAGAATTTTTTAAATGGAAAAATTCAAATATATGCAAATTAGAAAAAAATAGTACTCTATGTACCCATTATCTAGCTTCAATTGTTATAACAAATGGCCCAATTAGTTTTATCTATATCCCAACAACTACTTCCTCAGTTCTATTTTTTCAGTTAAATTTTAGATCTCCTATAATTTTTACTGTAAATATATAGTTAAGAACTCCTTTCTTAAACCTAACTATGACATCAGTGTCACATCAAAGATATTAATAATTTTTAATATAATCACATTATTCTCTCTATTTTCATATTTCCCTAATTGCCTCAGATATTTTAAAATATCCTTTTTTTTTTTTTTTCAAATTTGGGCCATAAATGTAATTGGTTAAATATCTCTAGCATCTTTCAATCTATAAATTCCCCCTTCATATTCATTTTATTTTTTCTTATAATGTAATTATTTAAAAAGCTAGGTAATTGACCCCATAGGATACTCCACAGTCTGGATTTTGCAGACTGTGTCACTGAAGGACTGTAAAATGCTCCTTTGTTCTTGCATTTCTTATAAATCAGTAGCTAGATATTGAGGCTTAATCAGATATAGATTAATTAATTAATTAAATTTTGACAAGAACACAGTTTAGGTTAGTTACGCTGTGCACTTCTATTTGGAGATATTTAAATGTCAAATTGTCTTCTTTTTATAAAATTGGCAGCCACTCAATGCTAAGATCTATAATTTGTTAAGGGTTGCAAAATGATGACATTTACATTCTATCTTTCCCCTTTCCTTTATTAGTCTTATCAGCTATCTGCTTGCCCCAGTGCTCTTTGAATAGGCAAGGCCTGATCCAGCCCAATTCTTCCCCTTCATTAATCAGTTTTCAAAAATATTAGCGGGGCTGAAACCAGTTTGGCTCAGGGGTAGAGTGTCGATCTTCGAACTGAAAGGTCCCAGGTTCGATTCCAGTCAAGGGCATGTACATTGGTTGCGGGCACATCCCCGGTGGGGGGTGTGCAGGAGGCAGCTAATCGATGTTTCTCTCTCATCGACATTTTAGCTCTCTATCTCTCTCCCTTCCTCTCTGTAAAAAATCAATAAAATATATATATTTTTTAAAAATTAGTGGCTTCGTTATGTTGACACAAGAAACATCCAAACTAGTGGAGAATTTTTATGAGTTTATTTGAACCAAAACTGAAAACAATTGCTGGGAAGCAAGTTCTCAGATGCTTTGAAGAATAATAGTCTGTAATTTTATACATTTGACATTAAGGAGGGGATATAAGGAATATAACATGAAGGTGGGAGAAAGCAAGGCAGAATTGGATTGCAGGGCCCTTAACAAGATTATGTGCTCTCTAGAGAATGGTTTAGCTTAAGGGGTCTTAAAAGGCATTTCAAACATGTGCTAACTAACCTAGATGCACAGAAAAAATGGACAGGTCCTGCTTAAGGCAAAGATAAACCTTTTGCTAAAAAAGTTATATGCTTGGAGCTTGACTACTCACTGAAACCTGCTCAGTTAGGAACTTATGATCAGATCTCTCTGTGAGGTTACTTTCCATAGAGCCCCTTTTCATTCACTGTTAGCATCCTTCCAAGGTGACCCATTAATTATTAAAGTCATTATTATAAAATAAGCATATTTGATGTGTTTTAAATTATTGTTGTCATATACTTATTGGTGCTCAAAACTGTCCTCCAGTGTCTTCTGAGTGGCCTTAGTAATTTTTGAGAGAAAGCATTCTTATTTCTTGATATGACAAGACATTGCATACTAGTCCTCTATGTGTTCTTTCTCATAGTTGGAGTCAGCCTTTTTCCCAAGGGAACATGACCCTCTTGAGTTAGAAATGACTTATATGAATAGAAATATGGGACCTAGGGCTGCTCATTGCTCTTGGGTTGGTCATTGTTTCTAGATCTTTTCAGAGGACAGAGCGAGGAACTATGTTTTTATAAAATAAAATGCATTGTGAGCACATGCTGATACTTCTGATTAAGACAACAGGGTGCTAACTCTTAGATCTTACATTTGTATTTCCTTTCTCTCGTGGTAAAAAATTCTGTTGCTTTTTTTATAACACCAACACAATTACTCATTTGTTTAGTCTCACAATACACATACATATAACAGACTCAAAATATAATCATACCTACTATAAACATCAACGATTTGATTATTGAAAGCAGTTTAAGACTTGTTTGTAGTTATTTTTTGTCTTCAGGGTATGTCCTGGTAGGGGTATATTGTGAGTTTACAGTGTTTCACAGTTCTTTGAAATACTTCCTGTGTGGTTTTGCTCCCTATCTCCTATACAGTTTCATTCACTTGATTAATTTTGCTCCTAATTTTTAAGGATTATGATTTGTTATATTTAATTTTGTTTTATAATTATGTAAAATATTTTAACGTGCCAACCTCAAATTTACAAATCAAGGTATATTCAAAGAAGTCTTGCTTTGTCCCCTGTCCTCTCTAAAAAATTTCTTCTCTCCTCAGGAGTAACAATTAAAAAAATTATGTTCATCCTTCCATTTCTTTAAATGAGTAAGTACTTTTAGGTATTTACATCTTCTCCCTCCTTCCTAACAATACATACCTTTTTACAATTGCCTTTTCTACTTAATAATTTACCTTAGGTTCATTCCATAATAATATAGAGATAATTCTCATTCCATTTTATAGCTGCCATATACTTCAATGTGTTATCATATCTTTGTATATTCAGTCAATTTTTTGTTATGGACACTGAGGTTATTTCCAAGTTTTTTATTACTACAAATTTGATTCAACTTCTGACACATTTGAAATTTATCCTCTTTTCTTATATAAAAAATGGATCAATTTTTCCTTTTTAAAATAGTCATCTGGTTATGCCAGTACCACTTACTTAACAGTCTATCTTTTCCTCACCAATTTGAGATATTGGTTTTATTATATATTAAACTTTCATATGCAATTGTATTCATTGCAGGGTTTTATACTCTATTGAAGATATTACTATGGGTTTTGACTGAAATTTGAGTCTTAGCGAAAGAAATCATCAGGTCCTGTGTTGCCCTGAGCACAGGGAGATATACAGTGATGTATGCCACTAAGTTAGCTCAAAGACCAGAAGCATTATGAATGATTAATAACTATTTAGTTGCATGGGTGACTTATTAAAAAGTTAATTAGCAAATGACTACAGAAATACTTTTGATATATATATTTTGAACAGGACAAGATTCCTAGGAAATATCATTTAGTAACAGTACAGTGGTAGGCAGTGTAATGGGAAGAAAACTAATAATGATTTTCATCACCTATCTGTGGGGAGCTGCCCTGAATTAATGACTGTTATAGAATTTGGAGAGTGAGTCATAACCTTAATCTCTCCTGTATAGTCCTGATCTGGTGATACCCCTGGAGCCACCAATAATCCTTTCATGGTTGTGCTACTTCTCCCTAATAATATCCCCACTGTCCCTGGAGGGACGGGTCCATACACCCCCATGGGGAGAGCTTGCATGCCCATCTCAGGAGTCAGTACTGTGTAGGTGAAGGCACTGAGGTCCAGTCCTGCGCTCCCTGGGGTTGCTCGGAACAAGTCACAAACGGATTTTCGTCTGGGACTCCCCCTGTAGGGATTGTCCCTGGATGGCCCCATAATATTGTTGCTGGGCCTGGGGCTGGCCCCGCTTCCAGTTTCCCTGAAGGGGAGGCAGATGGTTTTCTTGTAAATCAGTGACTGACTTACAATCTCTTGCCCAATGTTTTCCCTTCTTGCACTGAGGACATGTCCCCGGTGCCTTTGCCTGACTATTACTGCTCCCCTGGTTACTAGGACATTGAGTAGCTCGATGTCCCATCTGTCCACAGGAATAACAACTGCCAAGGGGACCAGCAACTTTTTCTTCTGTAGTTGCTGGAACAGGACCTCCTTGACTGATTTCCCTGGTAGGGCCGCAGCCAAAGTGATGCCTTGTACGTATGAAGATCCTATGTCTGCACATAACCTCACATAATCTGATAAGCTTCCTTTCTTTCTAAATGGTCTCAGGGCTGCTTGACAAGTAGAATTAGCATTTTCATAAGCCAATTGTTTTACAAGCATCATGCCAGCATCACTGACATTAATAAGTTTCTCAATAGCTTCCAAAAGCCTGGAAACAAAATCTTGATACGGCTCATAGGGACCTTGTCTGATTTTTGAAAGATCTTCAGTCTTTTTATTGGAGCTAGGCAGCCTTCACCAAGCTCTCTGGGCTGCCGCAATAATTTGAAAATAAGTTCCCGACTCATATTGCAACTGCTGATCAGTGGCCCTATACGCCCCTTCTCCAGCATTCATGTCAAAATCTATAGGGTTATCTTGTGCCCTATTGAGATCTGCAGTGGCTTGACATGGCTTCACAAATTCTGATTTCCACAGCAGATAATCCCCGCCTCTCAGGCTGGCTCTAGACAGCTGCTTCCAGTCGTTAGGGGGCAACGCTTGGGTGGCTAGGGATTCAAGCATCGCCTCAGTAAATGGAGCTGTAGGTCCATACTGGGCACATGCTGCCTTCAGATATTTAAGCTGTTTAAATGGAATGGGTTGGTGTACCCGTCGTGGATTTTCCTCAAAAACTGGGTATAGGCTAAAATAGGGGGATGGACCTGGAGCCCAGGGAATATCCCTGTTGGGTTGTGCTGCAACGGCTAGTGGCTTAAAACCAGGCCGCTCCTGCAAGGCAGCTATGACTGGCTGGGGAGGGTCGAATGGGATCAGCGGTGGAAGATCTAACCCCGCGATCACCGATGGTGGATATGATCCTATCCTCTCCACATTTGGAACAGTTAAAGCCTTCGGACCCTTAGGACTCTCAGGAGAAAGTCTTTTCAATACTTCTATTAACATCTTGTTAACTGCTCTCAAATCATCATCTAACACTGCTTTCCAGTCTGGTTCCTTCTTTTTCTGCTTAGCATTAATCATCAGCATCCAGGGCCCTGGGTCATCATCATGATAATGAGCAGCCACATCCTTTAAATCTTCCTGATCTTGAGGTATTAAGCCATTAAATAGATCATCATAATGATATTCCTGGGCCAGCAAAAGTTCCTCCTTAGCCTCCTGATAGGGATTTTGTGGCGGAGGAGGTGGCATCCCCTTTCGTCTGGGACTCCCCCTGTAGGGATTGTTAACTCTCCAGTTTCTTTGAAGCTAGAGGTTGATGTACTCTTCCCTCTCATAAGACCCTCGGACCACCGATGTCCTCCATGTCTGGGATCAAGGCAATCTCTGATTTGATTCCATAAAGAAAAGGTGTCTACTGGGACCTTCTTAGGTCCGTGGGCAGAATAATAGTCTTGTAATTTTATTCCCACTCTTTTCCAGGTTTCAAAATCTACCGGCCCTTCTTCAGGAAACCAAGGGCACACTTCTTCTACAAAACTTAAAAAATTCTCTAATTGTCTCTGCCCTGCCTTCACGCCTCTAGAACGAAGCATACTCTTAAGAACTTGCACGAACAGCGCTCTGCTATTCCCTTGCCCCATTATTTCTTACTCCCGACTATATCACACTCTCTGCCCAACCCAACCTTACATTAATCCGAACACGTCCCCTTTGCTCCTTTGGCAGTGTCCTCTGCCTTCGTCCCAGGTTTTCAGCCACCTGCCGGAACCTGCCGGCAATGAACAGTACCTAATTGAGGGGGTGCGAATGAGAAAAAAGAAAGATAAGAAAAGATGGGGTCGGGAGGACTAAGACTGAAGTCTGCAGTCCCGAATTTTATTTTTCCAACCTTTAAATACAATTCTGAAGGAGGAAATATTTATTTCAGGCAATCATACAGGTGGCCGTTTCTGCTAACATGATGAGTTCCTGTACAGATAAGTTCCTTCAGCATTACAACCATCTGACCTTTTATCATACAACTCCTTTACAGCTCCTTCTGTGTCAGCAGGCTCCTATCAATTGTTTTACCCTAAAGCAAAGACATCTGCAGTTAGCAGCATTCCTAGGGGTAGTAGTAATTTTCCACTTAGGTTAATGGAAAAGGGGGACACATGAAGAGCTGTGTCCTACACCCATGCCTGCATTCAGGCATATAGGACCCCTGCATTCAGGGCAGCTCCCTACACCTATCAACTTAGAAAAATAATACAGTTGTACATTTAAAAAATGTGAAAATCTAAGAATTTGTGTGATAGTCTTAAATGTAATTAGCCCTCGCTGGTTTTGCTCAGTGGATAGAGCATGGGGTGTCCTGGGTTTGAATCCAATCAAGTGCATCTGTCTCAGCTGAAGACTCTTTGGTCAGGGCACATGCAGGAGGCAACCAATTGATGTGTTTCTCTCACATCAGTATTTCTCTGTCTTTCCCTCTCTCTTCCACTGTTTCTAAAATCAATGGGAAAATATCCTTGGGTGAGGTTTAAAAATAATAAATATATATATATAACTAGATAATTTCAATTATTGAGAAGCTTTACTACTGCACTTAAAAAAAACCCAGTGATGAATATTTTGAGAAAGGATTAATCCTTTTGGATTGTGAGTAATTGAGTGTTAAATGAGATGCTTTCTTGGTTCAGATTTTTTTTAAACCTTATTTTATCTTTAATTATTTATTTTTTTCATTCTTTATTGTTGAAAGTTTTCCTATGTCTCCTTCTCCCCCCCCCCCCATTGATTTCTCCCCACCCACTCCATCCCCCAGCACATGCCCCTATCCCCCTAAGAGGGTATATGTAATACTTTCAACCATAAAGATTTAAAAATGATATATAATAAAGTCCTAGTATACAAATTGACCAAACAGTGGAACGACTGGCAGAACAGCTGGTCACTATGATGTGCACTGACCACCAGGGGGAAGATGCTCAATGTAGGAGCTGTCCCTGGTGGTCAGTGAGCTCCCACAGGGGAGTGCCGCTCAGCCAGAAGCTGGGCTCAAGGCTGGGGAGCACAGCAGCGGTGGCCGGAGTCTCTCCTACCTCTGCAGCAGCGCTAAGGAGCAGTGAGCTGATTAGTAAGGCGCAGTGAGCAGGCGGGCAGTAAGGAGTGAAGGGTCCCGGACTGTGAGATGGATCCTGGATCCCTGGGCGATTGGGCCTAAGTCAGCAGTTGGACATCTCCCAAGGGGTTCCAGAATGCAAGAGGGCACAGGCCAGGCTGAGGTTCCTCCTCTTCCCGCTTGGCCCAACAGAAGTATTAAGTCTCCCTTTGACCCTCAGGAGAGTCCCAATTTGAATGATTAATTAAACCCTTACCCTAACGCTCCAAGAATTTAGCTTTCCCAGCTTGAAGTTGGCTGGTGCTCTGCCCCTTCCAGTGGGAGGTGAAGGGACAGGGAGCTGCATCTTTTGGGCAGAGCCATTCAGAGTGGAGTTTTCCTCTAGCTGAGCTAGATGGGGGGGAAGTTAGCAGTTATGGTTCAAATGCCAGGGACTCACTGTCCTTACCATGATTTAATAAATGTTTTTCTTTAATAAGTGTTTCTTCATTTTCTATATACTCTTAGGAAAATTTATAGAGACCTTAAATGTTTTTTTTTTTAATTTTATGTTTTTCATCAGTCATAATTGTTTCACTGGTCCTCAGGACTCCTCTCATGGCCATTCTGGAAGTGGAGCCTATAGCCATTGCTTTTTAATATATTCTAAAAATGCTTTTACGTGTGAAAGAAACATTTCATATAGGTGTTATGCTTTGGAAAATGGAGATAAGTATAAAATCCTGACAGTGAACGAAGAGGTGTTTATAGTGCTCAGATGACCCACACAAAAGATCACTTAAAGAGGACATTTAAAAAAAAAAAAAATAAAGTGTAGGCAGGGTTAAGTCAACCGCCCAGGGATGGTGATAGGGAGAAGCACCAGCAGGAAGAGGCGCCACTCCCTGCGTGGCCTGAAGGAGGGCCGGGAGAGGTTACCAGCAGTTTGTATGAGCTATAGCTCTCCTGTCCCACCAGGAGGATTGCAAGCACTGCGTAACTGAGCCCGAGGGAGAGAGGAAGGAGGCGAGAGTGGGAGGAAATTCACTTCCAGAAGTGCTTACTCCTCTCACCCTCTGATCTCCTGCCAATGCCTCTCTCATTGGCCAAATCTAATAGAAGCCAGGGGGCAAGTGAACTGGAAATACATGATCCACAGAGTGCAGCCTCCCAGGGAACAGAATAGGTCAGATGGAGCACAAATCTGCAGGCACACAAATGAGAACACCCAGCCCCGTGGGCTTCCCCACTTGGCAGTGGCAATGCCAGGATCTGCAATGTTCTGATGACTAGATCCTTTGAAAGAACAGGGGAGAGAGAAGGCTCTGACTCTATTGCATTGATATGCTAATAGTCTTACATCCTCCAACACATGTCCTCAACAGAGGACACAGGGCTCACCCTCATTTGTATCACAAATCACATGTTCAGTGCTTTGGGAAAGCCGATGGCATGTATGTCAATGACATTATAAGCCAAGGAAGTGGATGCAATGATGTCAGTAGGGTGTGCAGAGCTCCAGGAAACTAGCGCTGACAGAGCTTTCTGTTTAAGGTGTAGCCTGAACAGAGGAAAGCTGCCTTTGTTTTGTGGATCATATCCGCTGTCAAAGGCATGATCTAACAGCGACATGCACTTACAAGGCAGAGAAAAGAGAAAATTTGCGGATGATCTCATTTCATCTGGTGACAGTGGAATAATATTCTGCAACCAGTCACCCCATACCTCTGCTGGTGATACTGACAGGCCCGAGGAACAGCCCATTAAAGGAAGCTGGAAAGCTATCCCAGGCTCATGTGTATATGACAAATAGGCCAATCACTATCTTCAGGTTGCTTGGAGAGGCACCTCTGGCTTCAGGAAAGAACTGGAGTGACAGCATCACCTGATTAGTGTGGTTGGTGCAGGCCTTTGCCAGAGTTCTGCCAGGAATTACTCTGAGTTCAAAGCTCCCACTTCCCCTTTTTACTCTTCTATCTTTCCCTTAACTATTTCCCCCCTCTTTATTCTCCCTCTGTTTTTTTTTTTTTCTTTCTTGCTTTTTTAATATCTAGACAAGGATGCTGTTAGCCCCCTTCTCTTTCCCATGACCCATAACACGTGATCCTGGTGTCTGGTGATTCTCTCTGGCTCCCACCCACTCACCAACACTCCCTTCCACAGGTTGCAGAAAGGTCTCCTCTTGGAAAAAAAACCCTCCCTGCCCCCAGAATTGCTTTTTTGGGGGGTGAGGGGGTTCAAAGTATTGCTACTGTCTCTTTCCCCATGCATTCTACATTCTCCTTTGGACTTATTTTCAGGCTCAAAGCAGTTTTAAGTAAGGCACAGCTTTTCTATTTCCAGAAAGTAGGGGGTGGGGTGGGGAGGAGAGGGGAAGAAAGGATTAAGTGCAAAAACAATAAGGGCTTTTGAACCTTTGGGCCCCAGGTAGCAGATCATATTTTAACACCTGTGGCTAAAACTGAACTATAAACCTAGGAGAAGATTGTAAATACATTGTTTCACAGCATATAGATAACACTGTCTGGGTATTCTTCAGGAAAAATCATTCTGACATTTGTTAAAATGGGAAGGAAGACTTTATTTAGGACTGCTGCCATAGATGTCAAGACTCTTACAATAGAAGAGAGAGATTGGGCTCTGAATACAGCAGGCAGCTGGGGATTTGTAGCCATGAGCCCAATGGGGGTGAATGTGTCAATGGATGAAACATTGCTAAGAGGAGACATCAAGGGTAGGTGGGTTCTTGCTGAAAGCTGGCCAGGGTGATCAGATGTCAAGAGGCGGGTGTGTGTATCTGTGTGTGTGTGTGTGTGTGTGTGTGTGTGTGTGTGTGTAGGGGAGAACACAGGGATGAAGGATTTGATTAGAAAAAGTGACAGCGGGATTCTTGCTGAACCTGGGACAGTAGGCTAACGATGAGGTCCAAGGATAAGGCCTAGTTGAAAAGAGGTCTCAGAAGAGCTTGTCTCAAGTTTGGACAAGGAGAGTCTTTGTCACTGGCCGTCATACTGTCAATTTGCTCATCTTAACTGGACTTGCAGCCTTGTCCTTGTGCCAGTGAAATACTGACCCAGTGCACAAGTACACAGTCTTCATGAAAAGAAAGCAAGTATTGAGGGGAAACCCACCTCCTGTTGATGAAGTAAGCTAACCTGTAGGAACT